TGTCCACAATTACAGCGGTCGTAACGGCTCGGTTCTGACTCGGTCGGACCGATTTCTGAAGTAGGACATACGCTACTTTTCGTGCGATTTGCATAGACATCTGTGTCAGATGTCTTGCAAATCGCACTTGAAATCCCCCCGACTTCACTGTAAGTCACACTATTTCAAAGTGGGGCTTGATGTGACCGGGGGCTAAGGACGTGTTTATACTTGCTTCAAAACGTGGCGTTGGACATGCGTCTTTAAAGCAGTTTGAATGCCAAGCAAAGCCCTGTGACTAAATAAAATGGATATCTTACAGTCCCGTTCACATGGTGCGTTTGCTTCGCTTCAAAAATGATCCCCCATGTTGCTTTCTTGGTGCTTCAAAGCGTCTTCAAAGCCTCCATAGAAGTCTATGACAACGCTCGCTGACAGCACCTGCAGCTTTTGGGGGGGGGGGGGGGGGGGCTTCTATTTAGCTTCAATTAGTTTTGGAGCGGGGCGGACTGACCATTTGGAAACTCGGGCACCGCCTGAGGGCCCGGGGTCAGTAGGGGGCCCCATGAGATGCCCCTGGTACCTTTTTTCATAGACTTTTTTTAATTTGGGCAAGGACACAGGGGCCCCATGATCCCCTATTGCCCGGGGGCCCATGAGTTGTCAGTCTGCCCTGTTGTGGAGGTATTGTGGGTATGCGATATCCCAGGATGCACCGGGAAAACAAGCGAACCAGAAAGACGTCATGAGCAGCCACTTCCGGTTCATGTGTATATATTCTGGAAATGTCTGGTACAGATGCCACATTTGGTGTGCAGTGTGGGAGCAGCAGGAGGGTGAATGGGGTTCAGGCGACAGCGGAGCAACTAGCAGACGGAACACATGGTGTGCAACATGGAAACACTATAGCTGAGGGTTAGCAGGGACCAGAGAAAGTGGACTGAGCAGCAGATCAGCAGAGCTGGGGGACCGGAGCAGGAGAAACTAACAATGTCACATGCGGTGCGCAAACATAGGAGCAATATAGTGGGAGGTGAGCAGAGACCAGAGAAAGAAGAGGATCAGCAAACCAGAGGATCAGCAGAGCTTGGGGTTACTACTGAGTGGGGATCAGCAGAGCTGAAGGTACTACTGAGAGGAGATCACCAGAACTGGGGGTTACTACTAAGTGAAGGATCAGCAGAGCTGAGTTACTACTGAGTGGAGGATCAGCAGAGTGGGGGTTACTACTGAGCAGGGGGATCAGCAGAACTACAAAGTGAAGGATCAGCAGAGTGGGGGGTCACTACTGAATGGGGGATCAGCAGAGCTTGGGGCTAATACTGAGTGGGTTATCAGCAGAGCTGGGGGCTACTACTGAATGAGGGATTAGCAGAGCCGGGGTTTACTACTGAGTGGGGGATCAGCAGAGTTGGGGGTACTACTGAGAGGAGGGTCAGCAGAGCTGGGGTTTACTACTGAGTGGGGATCAGCAGAGCTGGGGGTACTACTGAGTGAAGGATCAGCACAGCTGGGGGTCACTACTGAGTGGGGAATCGGCAGAGCTGGGGGTTACTACTGAGTGGGAGATCGGCAGAGTTGGGGGTTACTACTGAGTGGGGGAATCAGCAGAGCTGGGGGTTACTACTGAGTGGGGGATCAGCAGAACTGGGGGTTACTACTGAGTGGGGGATCAGCAGAGCTGGGGGTTACTACTGAGAGGAGAATCAAGCAGAGCTGGGGGCACTACTGAGTGGAGGATAAGCAGAGCTGGGGGTCACTACTGAGTGGGGGATCAGCAGAGCTGGGGGTTACTACTGAGTGGGGGGGATAAGCAGAGCTGGGGGTTACTACTGAGTGGAGGATCGAGCAGAGCTGGGGGTTACTACTGAGTGGGGGATCAGCAGAGCTGGGGGTTACTACTGAGTGGGGGATCAGCAGAGCTGGGGGTTACTACTGAGTGGGGGATCGACAGAGCTGGGGGTTACTACTGAGTGGGGGATCAGCAGAGCTTGGGGTCACTACTCAGCGGGGGGAACGGCAGAGCTGGGGGTTACTACTGAGTGGGGGGATCGGTAGAGCTGGGGGTTACTACTGAGTGGGGGATCAGCAGAACTGGGGGTTACTACTGAGTGGGGGATCAGCAGAACTGGGAGTTACTAATGAGTGGAGGATAAGCAGAGCTGGGGGTTACTACTGAGTGGGGGATCAGCAGAGCTGGGGGGGTTACTACTGAGTGGGGGATCAGCAGAGCTGGCGGTTACTACTGAGTGGGGGATCAGCAGAGCTGGGGGTCACTACTGAGTGGGGGATCGGCAGAGCTGGGGGTTACTACTGAGTGGGGGATCAGTAGAGCTGGGGGTACTACTGAGTGGGGGATCAGCGGAGCTGGGGGTCATTACTGAGCGGGGGATCGGCAGAGCTGGGGGTACTACTGAGTGAAGGATCAGCACAGCTGGGGGTCACTACTGAGCGGGGGATCGGCAGAGCTGGGGGTACTACTGAGTGGGGGATCTGCTGAGTGGGGGTACTACTGGGTCCCTTTAAAACAAATAGAAAACAACACACACGGGGCATTTGCCAAGCTTCAATAAAGCATCACCAAAGCATCAACAAACAGATTAAAAAAGCAAGTTGCTGCAGTAGGCACTTAAGATTCCATTTACACTTGCACCACTCCAAAGTCGCATGATTTCCAGTGCTTCTTTGCAGCATGACTCTGAGTGCGACATTGATCCGACTGTACACTCTCCAGATCAAAGCCGCATTGAAAGTTGCATCAATGTAGCGCAGGCACCATTTCAAAGTCTCTGCGACTTAAACGGGTGCCGCTGAAAAGGATGGGCTGCGACTTGTTATGCGACTTTGATGTCTTGATGTCCAAAGTCGCATGACAAGTCACACAAGTGCGATGGGAGCCTGTGTTAAAGTCGCAGCAAGCGTAAAAGAGCCCATAATGCGAGGCATCAGTCTGCAACGTGACACGTGAGTGATTCATATAGACCCGTGGTGGTGTCTACTGCCCCTCTGAGGCTGCGTTCACACCTAGCATTTGCTAGAGGCGCATTTTCTTGCGCGTGTTTTTCATGCAACAGGCATTCTTCTCAATGAGCCGCCCTACGTGCGACACGTGCAGCAAAATAGTGGATGTAGCATTCATTTTTGCGCATTTTTTAACCATGCGTTTTTGCCACAACCGCTGCATGTTTTTGCACGTTGCTGAATGCACATCTGCTCACCGCATTTGGGTTTCCACCAACAATGAACGGCAACGTGAACGCAACACAATCTTTTTTTTACTGTATGTCATAAACGTGCGCCAAAGCATGCGATTTCGCAGGCATCTACAAAAATGCGAAGGAGTGAATGCGCATGGCAGTATGTACCATACCCTCTGGCCACCATGGAACAGTTTAGGGCAGGGATGGGCAACTGTGGCCCTCCAGCTGTTGGTGAACTACAAGTCCCATCATGCCTCTGTCTTTGGGAGTCATGCTTGTAACTGTCAGTTTTGCAGTGCATCATGGGACTTGTAGTTCTACAACAGCTGGAGGGTTGCAGTTGCCCACCCCTGGTTTAGGTGGCTATTTAGGTTTTGGGGGGGGGGGGAACTGTGGCTCAACTGCCTGTTTTTATTGTCCCAACAACTGTTGTGATCCAGGCCTAAGAATGAACGCACGATTTAGCATTTCGTGAATGTGCGTAAAAAACGTTTTCCAAAATGCATGAAAACGCCCGTCACACCTCTGTCACCATTCATTGGTAATGACACCCCCCCCCCCCAAAAAAAAATGCGTCAAATGCAGCAAAATGCGTAGTTAGAAAAAAAAGAGCTGGATGATTAAAAAAGGTGCGCGAGCTACCCTGCCGCTAAATCAATGGGCTGCGTGAGGAGGAAAAAATAAGTGCATGAATGCGCAAACAAAACATGCAAAAATGTGCGATTTTGCGCATCTGCAGCCTAAAAACGCTTTTGTGTTATATGGGTTCGGCTTGAATTTCGTTCCGGGAAGCTGGACTTGAATATTGCAATCATTAAAATTCATTGAGCATTTTTAATGTGTTACCATTGACTACAAAGCAACATGTGACCTTGATGTGACTTAGGCGCGACTTTGATGCAACTTTGGATGAGTGCAACTTTGGCTCAACTTTGGCTTGGATAGGCTTTGACTGAAGGATGATTGTTTATGATGTACAAAGTCTCACATAAGTCGCATGTATAGATTAGGAGACAGCCGGACAGATTGGGGTAGGGAGTTCCATAGGATGGGAGAAGGTCGGGAGAAGTTCTGGAGGTGAACATGGGAGGAGGTGATGCGGGAACTAGAGAGCAGATCGAAGAGAGCGGTTTGGTTGATATATTGAGACCAGGTTGGTGATGTAAGTTGTTGTTAGTATTTTGAATTTTATTCGTTGGGCGAGTGGAAGCCAGTGGAGGGGTTGGCAGAGAGGGGTGGAGGACACTGAGTGGAGGCCAGTGGAGGGATCGGCAGAGAGGGGTGGAGGACACTGAGTGGAGGCCAGTGGAGGGGTTGGCAGAGAGGGGTGGAGGACACTGAGTGGAGGCCAGTGGAGGGATCGGCAGAGAGGGGTGGAGGACACTGATTGGAAGCCAGTGGAGGGATTGGCAGAGAGGGGTGGAGGACACTGAATGGAGGCCAGTGGAGGGATTGGCAGAGAGGGGTGGAGGACACTGATTGGAGGCCAGTGGAGGGATTGGCAGAGAAGGGGTGGAGGACACTGATTGGAGGCCAGTGGTGGGATTTGGCAGAGAGGGGTGGAGGACACTGAGTGGAAGCAGTGGAGGGATTGGCAGAGAGGGGTGGAGGACACTGAGTGGAGGCCAGTGGAGGGATTGGCAGAGAGGGGGTGGAGGACACTGAGTGGAAGCCATTGGAAGGATGGGCAGCGAGGGCCAAATCACATTCAGGTCTCAGGGAAACCCTACTAATAATAGTTACAATCTAGAGTTCTAGGTGCAATAATGAGATAGACACTGGGAAGAAAGAATGTCCCTTACATTGGGGGTCAGTGGGAAAATGTCCCTTACATTGGGGGGTCAGTGGAAGAATGTCCCTTACATTGGTGATCAGTGGGAAGAATATCCCTTACATTGGTGATCAGTGGGAAGAATGTCCCTTACATTGGGGTCAGTGTCAGTGAAAGAATGTCCCTTACATTGGGGGTCAGTGGGAAAATGTCCCGTACATTGGTGGTCAGTGGGAGGAACCCCTTACATTGGTGGTCAGTGGAATCAGTACATGGGGGGAACGTCCCTTACATTGGGGGTCAGTGGGAAGAACGTCCCTTACATTGGGGGTCAGTGGGAAGAATGTCCCTTACATTGGGGGTCAGTGGGAAGAATGTCCCTTACATTGGGGGTCAGTGGGAAAAATGTCCCTTACATTGGTGATCAGTGGGAAGAATGTCCCTTACATTGGTGGTCAGTGGGAAGAATGTCCCTTACATTGGGGGTCAGTGGGAAGAATGTCCCTTACATTGGAGGTCAGTGGGAAGATAAGAATGTCCCTTACATTGGTGGTCAGTGGGGAAAGAATGTCCCCTTACATTGGTGATCAGTGGGAAGATGTCCCTTACATTGGGGGTCAGTGGAAGAATGTCCCTTACATTGGGGGTCAGTGGGAAGAATGTCCCTTACATTTGGTGGGTCAGTGGGAAGAATGTCCCTTACATTGGGGGTCAGTGGGAAGAATGTCCCTTACATTGGGGGTTCAGTGGGAAGAATGTCCCTTACATTGGGGTCAGTGGGAAGAATTGGGGGGTCAGTGGGAAGGAATGTCCTTACATTTGTGGTCAGTGGGAGAAGGAGGAGGACACACTGAAGGAGCTCTCCCTGAGAACCAGCGTTTTCAAGCCTGGGCCTTGCGTGCTAGCTTGGCCCAGAACCATGCCTGATCCAGGGGGAGGCCCTGGGAGGGATTCCCCTGATGAGACCGGGCCTAGTGAGGAGGAGGAGGTGGAGGACCTGACTGTGGGTCCGGCCCTGGTGAGGATGTCGATGTCTTCAGGCAGAAGATTTACTGATAGATTGGTGACTATTGGAAGAGCTGAGGAGAAACTCAATGTTTTGAAATCGGAACACAAATCCTTCAGAGCCAAATACTGCCAGGCCTGGAGCAAGAACAGATTGGGCATGAAGCAGCGCTCCAGCACATGGAGGAGAAAGTAAAGAGACAATCTTTATTATTAGAAAAGTTGAAAGCAAGAAGTGGAGCATTTAAAGAAAAGTTCGATAATGAGAGGAGATTTGCCAGCCAGACATCAGTGAGCTCTGTGGATCAGCAGCCTCAGGTAATGGATGACCCGGGCACCATCTACATCAGCGTCTCTCCCCCCATGTCAGGCTGAGGAGTTGTCAGTAGCAACCAGCCAGGGGGTTGAGGGTGAATATGGAACCTTGAGGTTCATCAGCACATGGAGTCTCCCCTGAGAGCAGACAAGTTTGCCTTCACTGATGACCCTGCAGAAGTCCCTGAGGATGGACAGAGGAGGTACAGACTGAAGCAAAGCCAAGACTGGTGGAGAGATCCCAATACACCAACATGGCTGCTCCCAGCATGTCTGCCCCACCTGCTGCGGTGAGTACTGGCGGATGAGGAGCTCTGCAAGCATGCCTGCTGTGGAGGAATCCTCATCCAACCTGGAGGAAAAATTCCTGGCAGAGAGGTCTCCATACCATCAGGGGAATGTGGGTGAACCTGCACCAAGCACCCCACAGATGGAAATTGCTGCTGCTGAGTTCCTGCTGAGACCAGTAGTCCCTCTACAAGCAAGATGGCTGCCACCTGCAGAGAGACTGTTTCACCTGAGCTCCCAGGTGCTCCAGAGCTGATTGATGCTGGTGGGGGAGGGGAGCAGTAGCACACTGCACCAACATGGAGAGCAAACATGGATGTCTCACTTGTTGCTGTGTCTGAGAATCCAATCCAGTCCTGGGCTGAGTGTCCTTTCTTGAAGGAGAGATTGATTGAAGGAGCTTCTATGGTTGCAGCAGTGAGTGCGGACATTGCTGTGAAGTCTATGACTGGTGAGACTGCTAAAAGCAATGGATGTGTTGGTGGTGGGTGGAGGTGAAGGGGTTAACATTGCTGACAGAGGTAAAAAGATGACATTTCTCCCCCTGCTGAGCAGAGAGAGGTACACCATCCAATCCCGGATCTGTGCAATCGGTATCTGCTAGAGTTGCACCAGATGCTCCCAGACACAACAAATATTTCTGCTGCTGGGAGGATTGGGGGGGAGCTATGCCTCTGTTTTGGGGAGTCGCACCAAGGGGGTGGGGGTAGTGTTGGGAATACTAATGGTCACAATTTGGGGAGGTTTGGTGGTGGGTTGGTTGGTGGGGTCAGGAGAAGGAATGTGGTACAGTTGAAGTGGGAGGGGGAAAGGGAACCCACCAGTAAGGGGGTCGAGGGTGGCGGAGTTGATTCTAGAGATGGGGTTTAAAGCCTGTGATGTGTTTGCACCATTGATTCTGCCCAGAGTAGGCAGCTATGAATACGATTTGTCATTTGTAAAAACCTGAAGGCCTGGACCTGTTTTGGGAGAGATATTGGAGGTGCAGGAGCCTTCCTCAGCAGTGGAAGAGGTTTGGTGGCAAAGGTGGTTTCCAGACAGCCTTTGATAAAATCGGTGACAATCCTGGTCCGGAATGAATCCCATACCAGAGGCTGATTTAGTAGTTTGGCTACGCCGACATGGTGAGGTCCTCACCCCACTGGCGGAAGGGTCCTGGATGAGCATAGGATATGGACAGGGGGGCCTGGACGGTTGTCAGTGCAAATTGAGGGTGCTGGGCAATGTGGTTCAGCCATCTTCCCTGCCTCAGCCTTTCTGGGGAGGGATAGGCTTGACCTCATTTTCTATCAAGGTCAGCCTAAAGTTTGTAACAAATGCGGAGAGAAAGGTCATTTGTGCATTCGTCCTGCAGCACCATCAAGAAGTGCTCACTGTGCCCCGATTTTTGCCCATTTGGCCAAAGAATGCACCGAGATTCGGTGTTAATTTGTGCCAGCAGAATGGGTCATCCATACAGGTCTGTGCCCAGAGGCACTACACAACCTTGCCAGGACCTGGAGGACTGGAGGCTGAGCTGCAGAGGCTGGATAAAGAGGAATGAGGCAGCTGATGCTAGGGAGGGAAACTGTAGTTGCCCCTCCTGTGTCTGTTCCCTCTGTTGTGTCCAGATTGTTTTCCCCAATAGTGTCACCCCTGAGTCTGTCCCTCCTGTCCCTAATCCTACAGTACGTTAGATCCTCCAGACTGGCGGAAGCTGCTGGGGGGGCGGGTTGTGCGGATCTTCCCCTCTCGGCCTATACTCAACCTCCGGTACACTGTCCCCATCAGCGCAAACGTGGTCAGGAGGTTTGTTGTGGGGGTGCCGGATGGGGGTGGAACCGATGAGGCTCAGGGTAGGGGTATCCATGTCCCATGTCTCGCTCCTGCTGGGGGGGATTCGGCTGATGAGGGGTGGAGAGAGGGTGAAGGGAAGAAGAGGAGGATGAGAAGAGCTGTCCTCTCTTCTCCTCAGAAATCAGATCCAGGAGGGGGGTCCCTCTTGGCAATACTTTTTCAGTTTTTGTCAGGTGATGAGATGGTATCTGATATATCCATTTCTCTATCATCTATGGATGAGGGGGAGTCACATACTCTGAAGAGAGCTGTTTCGGGTGATGATGTGGTAGAGGTTAGTGAAACAACTACCCCAATCATCCTGATGGCAGTTCCCACTCTGTTTAAAGGTGGTGACCATTAATGTCGCCAGCATTAAATCTGCAAGAGCTCGTGATACGGCCTTATTTTTTGCTCAGCGAGTTTGATGCTGAGGATTTTATTTTTGCAAGAGGACCTGGCTCAATACATTGGCCGATGTCTATCTAGCAAAAAGGGAGTGGAGGGAGGATGTGGGGTCCCTCCTTTTTTGGTCTCTTGCGGTCTGAACCTTGCAGCGGAAGAGTTGCGGTCCTTTTTTAAAAAACCGATATGGTAACGTGCCGGCGGGTAATTGAGGTAGAAATGGGGAGATGCATGGTCTTAGACGTCTCTGTTAGGGGGCAGGAATCCATGCGTCTGATCAATATCTATGGACCGCAGTCAAAATGGGGCAGGAAAATTGGCCTCCTCACAAAGATCAAGCCCTTCCTTTTTTACGTCCCAGCAGGTTGTCTTGGGAGGTGACTTTAACACCATATTTAGGCCTGAAGACAGGAGAGGCTCCATAGACAGGCTGGGTTATGGATGGCGTTTTTCTCAGAGATTTGGTTAGACAGGCAGGCCTGGTAGATGTGCACATTAAGCACTGCCCTGGTAGCACGGGGTTCACATTTCAGAGAGGGAATAGTCAGAGCAGGATAGACAGGTTTTTTTTTTAAGGAGAACTCTGCTTTCTCAGCTCCTGATTGAAGGCGGTGGAGTCTACTCTGACCAACTGTATGCTGTCTGTGACTCTGAATGCCTCGGACACTCCACCCAGGGGAAGGGGTGTCTGGAAACTGAATTTGGCTCTCCTGGAAGATGTAGAGGTAAGACATCCTTTGAGGATTTTTTTCAGGCACAGGTTTCTATTTCTGGACTTTTGCAGCAGTAAGTCAGAGTGGTGGGAGCTTGTGAAACATAAGGGCGATTGGACTTTTTTCAAGGCCATAAGTAAGAAGAAGCAGCTTGGTATGTATATTGCCTACCCAGCATTTGCGGAGGAAGCTTGATCGTCTGTCTCGTTATGGAGGAGATCCAGGGGAGATCTCTGAAGTGAAGCTTCTTCTTAGGAAGTGTCAATACGACCGGCATGCCTCCTTTGATTCTGGAGAGGGATTATGGGAAATATCACTCACCTGATCCTTACCAGAACTGTAAGCAAGGCAATAGCAGTTAAGACGGTCAATGGCCTGAAAGACAGTTACAGGGTTCCCTGATAAAGTCCAGATCGGGATCTTGGAGATCTTTGGGTCGTATTATGCAGACCATCCTGGGAAGAAAAGGACCTTAGCCGGGACGGATGGAAAGCTTTCTGGATTCTACTCCAGGATTGGGAAATGGTGCATTGCTTTTGATGAATTTGACAGAACCAATTTCAGCGGATGAGGTAGTTCATCGCTATAGACCAAGCTGGCTACCAAAAATCGCCTGGGCCAGATGGATTGACAGCTGAATTTTACAAGTGTTTTAAGTCCATTCTGGCTCCCTTTTTAGCGGAGGTTTTTAACAGCTGTCTAGAAGAGGGTTCGCTCCCTCCCTCCATGAGGCAATCCGCTTGTGATTCTTCTGTTCAAAAGGTAAAGACCCCTCAATGATTGAGAACTGGCGCCCCATCAGTCTTCTCAATGTTGATAGAAAGATCTTGGCAAAGATTCTATTTTGGCGCTTTCTCGTCAGTAGCAGGCGATTTGTTGTCCAGCCATCAGCACTGTTCTCGGTCCAAGGTAGAAGTACCTTTCAGCAGTTTTGGGCTATCCGGGAGGCTTTGGAACGATGCAAGGCTGCTGGGATGAGAGAAAGTACTTGCTGGCATTGGATCAGGCAAAAGCTTTTGATCGAGTGAATCATGAATATCGTGTGGTTGCTGCTGGTAGATTACGGCCTGCAGGGGAGGTTTATAGATTGGCTGAAGACATTATATAAAGGGCTGAGAGCTTCCCACTTGTTAATGGTTGGGTTGGGGCGGCCTTTTTGAGGTCGGCTCTCTATGGTGTTGTGCGCCAGGGATTGTCCTTTGAGCCCCCTGCTATATGCTTTCGCAATCGACCCCTTTGTAAGAAGGCTAGAGGGCGCATCGTTGTGCGGGGTGCCTCTGGGCATTGCTGGTGTGCCGCCTTTGAAGTCGTTGCCTATGCTGATGATGTGTCTGTTATTTATCTCTGGGACTGAGGAGGCGCAGGAGGTTGGTCTCTGTGATAGAGCAGTACACGGAGGCTTCTGGCTCTAAAGTCAACCATGAAAAGAAGTGAAGTTTTCTGGATGGATGAGGAGGGTGAAAAAGCTTCGAAACTTCGGATGCCTTCCCAGAGCCCAGCAGGGAGGAAATTAAAATTTTGGGCATCAAATTGGTCCCGGTGACTATGGTCATCGAAACTGGGAGAAAGCAGGTTGGTAGTTGCCAATGCCAAAGTAGCGAGCTGGAAGAGATGGAGGGCTTTCCTTGAGAGAGAGGGTTGACTTGATCAAAACTTACCTGATCCCGATCTTTTTATATGTCAGCTTCGTCTGTATCTTGCCGGGGTATCTCTTCTCTATGCACGGGGTATCTCTCTATGCAGGGCTGTTTTACAGCTGTTTTTTCCAACTGTTATGGGGAAATAGGCTGAACTTGATCAAACGCAATGTAAACTTACCTGTCCAGGCGGGGGAGGGTGGCGGAGGGTGGCTTGGGAATGGTCAACCCGATAGTTTTCTTTTCTTTCGCTCTTTTTAAAGTACAATCTTGGTAATATGTTAGCAGAGACCCCGCCGGGATGGGTGGGTTATTTTCAGTCTTGGTTTAGGCCTTTTCTGCATTGCTGGGGAAGATGGCGGGCCAGTGAAAAGTCTGAGAGTCCGACATGGCAATAGCTCCCGGCTTATGTTGCCCCGTGTCTGAAAATACTTCGGCATAGTGGCAGGTGACAGTGGAGGATATCAGGTCCCTTCCCAGGGAAGCTTCTGGGGGAGAGGATTTTGGCTTCTGCTTTCAGTGTGTCACTGGCCTTAAAAGGATTGCCCAGGCTCTGTAATGAGGGAGGGATTGCGTTTAATTAACTTGGAGAGAGAATCCCTTTGAAGTTTAGGGGATCAAGCCTGGCTCGCTTTCCATGAAGGCTCTATGTGAGAGGGACCTGAAGCACCGCCCTGTGGGATGATCGGGATTGTCCTAGAGCAGAATGTGTTGGTATGGTGGAGTCTATGGACCACTTTCTGCTCCTGTGTCCCTTTAACATAGAGGTGTATAAAAGGGTGGGGAGGGTTCTGGGCATCCCCTTTCTCTATCACATGAGTTATGCAGAGTGGGTGTTAACGGGGCATTCCCAGCTCCACTGGGACTTTGATTTGGATACACTTTTTCTAGTTAGTATAGGCTTGTCCGTTACTTCACATGGATTGACGCACGGTGTGTCAGATTACCATCCGAAGAAAGTCCAGGCCCCTGTAGAGGTGTGTGGTGCAACGATATTCTGGGTGAGGTTGGGAAGATTCGGGGTCTTGAGAGGGTCAGAGAGCCTCGGGCGGTCTGGGATAAGGGCGTGGAGGGAATATCAGACCTGCCTTTGGGTGAACTGTCTATCTCTGGGTGAGGGGCTCTTTCCTTATACTGTTCTTTTCACTCCCATGTAGTTTTTGTTGATTAAGATCTTTTTTGAAGAAGGGCTGCATGCATAAGGGGGGCGGGGAGGGCTGCATGCATAAGGGGGGCGGGGTGGTTTCTTGACCTCACAGGTTTGATGTCCTGGTGTAGTGATGTGAGTGGTAGTACGATTTTATTTTCCCCAATTATGTCATGTTCATTTCTGAGACGTTTGCTTTTGTCTGACAGCAGATTTTGCTATGTTTATTTTCGTTTTGCTGTAAATATATATCATTTTTTTTATATTCTGTATAATATTTTATGTTTTTTGATTGATTGCGAGACTTTTAATAAAGAAAAATTGGGAAGAATGTCCCCTTACATTGGGGGTCAGTGGGAAAGAATGTCCCTTACATTGGTGGTCAGTGGGAAGAATGTCCCTTACATTGGTGATCAGTGGGAAGAATGCCCCTTACATTGGTTGATCAGGGGGAAGAATGTCCCTTACATTGGTGGTCAGTGGGAAGAATGTCCCTTACATTGGGGGTCAGTGGGAAGAATGTCCCTTACATTGGGGGTCAGTGGGAAGAATGTCCCCGTTACATTAGTGGGTCAGTGGGAAGAATGCGCCCTTACATTGGTGATCAGTGGGAAGAATGTCCCTACATTGGGGGTCAGTGGGAAGAATGTCCCTTACATTAGTGGTCAGTGGGAAGAATGTCCCTTACATTGGTGGTCAGTGGGAAGAATGTCCCTTACATTGGTGGTCAGTGGGAAGAATGTCCCTTACATTGGTGATCAGTGGGAAGAATGTCCCTTACATTGGTGGTCAGTGGGAAGAATGTCCCTTACATTGGTGGTCAGTGGGATGAATGTCCACTGACATTGGGAAAGAATGTCCCTTACATTGGTGGTCAGTGGGAAGAATGTCCCTTACATTGGTGGGATGTCAGTGGGAAGAATGTCCCTTACATTGGTGGTCAGTGGGAAGAATGTCCCTTACATTGGGGGTGTCAGTGGAAGAATGCTCCTTACATTGGAGGTCAGTGGGAAGAATGCCCCTTACATTGGTGGTCAGTGGGAAGAATGCCCCTTACATTGGGTGGTCAGTGGGAAGAATGTCCCTTACATTGGTGGTCAGTGGGAAGAATGCCCTTACATTGGTGGTCAGTGGGGAAGAATGCCCCTTACATTGGTGGTCAGGGAAGAATGCCCTTACATTGGTGGTCAGTGGGAAGAATGTCCCTTACATTGGGGGTCAGTGGGAAAGAATGGGGTCCCTTACATTGGTGGTCAGTGGGAAGAAATGTCCCTTACATTGGTGGTCAGTGGGAAGAATGTCCCTTACATTGGAGGGTCCAGTGGGAAAGAATGTCCCTTACATTGGGGTCATGGGAAGAATGTCCCCTTACATTGGTGGTCAGTGGGAAGAATGTCCCTTACATTGGGGGGTCAGTGGGAAGAATGTCCCTTACATTGGTGGTCAGTGGGAAGAATGTCCCTTACATTGGTGGTCAGTGGGAAGAATGTCCCCTTTTAGGTGGCTAAAAAAGATCAGTAGTGTCAGATGTTACTTATCCGACAGGCAGAAATCGCTCATTGCTCAAGGAACCCCTAACAACCTCTGGAGGAACCCTGGTTGAGAAAGGTTTGGTATAAAGATCACTGAATTTGGTTGACCCTTAATTTTGAGAGTCCCCCACTTTGCGGAGAGCCAAATATCCTAAGTCATTTGTGTCAGGATGCTATCTGGAACAGAGGTGCGCATGTGTGAAGACGCAGGTCTGGCATGTCCTCTAATATCCTGCATGCGTGCACCGGTTTGCATGGGAAACGTGCAGGAGCATTGCATGCACATCAGTATGCATGCGCATGCATCCGACTCCTAACCTTTTTCTAAATACCCTATTTAGGATGGAAGCAGTGGTAGATGATTGCTGGATGATCTTGAGCTTCCCGTGCTCCTTGTTCCTCTATTTATCCTGATCTCTCGTTACCACTTTGACCTGCCTCTCTGGACCTCTCCTCTGCATGGGCTCGTTTACGGACTCTTCTTCTGACCATCTGTGTGTGACTCTGGCTTTCCTCTTGACTATTCTGCTGGTTCATCCTCTTAACTTTCGTGCATGACCTTGGCTCTGGCTCCTGACCTTGCATCCTGTTGACCCTCCATGCATTACCTCGGCTCTGACCTTGACCGCTTTCCCACTTCTCCAGTTCCGCCTTGCCAATGTGATCGTGCATCTGCTATTGGTATCATCACACCACCGGCTGCTGCACCTGACCTGCTCCACCATAAGTGTACCCCATGTTCCTGCTGTCACTTGACCCGCTTGCTGAAGAACAACCTCAGTGGACACTTGCTAAAACAGTTTCCAATAGACCAACCTAAATAGCAGCCATGCTGCTTTTGGGCCTTGCACTACCTGTCATCAATCCCAGGGATGCTTGGACCTTGGCCACAAAGGAGGTCCTCTTGTCTCTCATCATTTCAACCTCCAAGCAGGTAGAATGACAAGTTGGCTCCACTGAAGACTTTATTTCCATTGGTAGAAGATCCATATCTAGTCCCTCCAACCTCACCTTGTCCTGAATAACCTGAAGATGGGGCCCTCAGATTCAGCCTCGTCTGTGGGAACCCCTCGCCTCCTTCTCATAACGCACCTCTGTGGGTGCACAGGATGGAAAAGGTACGAGAGACCCTTCCAAGCAGTTTGAATTCAAGGCTTTGCTCCCATCCGGCCCCTCCTCGGTTTGATGCCAGCACGTCTCTGCCAGAAGCCTTTCCTGCCAGATGAGAAACATCTGTCCGTAGCGGCCCACATCTGGCCGCCAGCCCCTGCCTGCCTGGAAGCGCTAGGTGTTAACGCTGCTCCCTCCCTTTTATCAAGTCAAATGACCTGCCGCCCTGGATGGTCTCACTCTTAAACATGGGTGGGCCTCACCTTGGGCCAGAGATGCTGATCTGTGCCGGAAATTCACTGCTGATCGCCTGGAAAAATTAAATCCACTCTACGGGGGGAATTTTTGCATTTTTAAAAAAAGTTTAATTAGGAAGAGTTAGGTTCTGCCTGTTCGCCCCCCCCCCCCCCCCCCCCGTGGGCAGATCTTCCTTCACTTCCTGTCCCTGTGACACCAGGACAAGAAACGGGCGAGCAGCACTTGTTACAGGAAATCACAGGCGGTGACAACTGTGGATGAGCAAAATTCAGGTGTCTGTTTAGGAAGGCTGTATTATAGATTAGTCCCGAACTAGTGCCGGGGGTTCACAGGTTCATCCAGAGCCCCAAGAGGCAAATTACCCCCTACCAGAATTACACTCCCCATTACTTGTCAGCAACCTCACCCCCCCCCAAAAAAAAAAGAGCACTAATCTGCATGCTTACCCCCTAAACATATATTCCCCCTCCTCCCCAGTACAAGTCCACCCTCCTGCTGAAAGCATCCCCCCTCCCAGCACAAATCCCTTGTCCCCATTTCTTCCAGCTCAAATCCTCAATTTCCTTTCACATTTCCCCCAACACAAATTCCCAAAATATTCCTCCCCAACCAAAAAAAATCCCCCCTCCTAGCCCCAACAAATACTCTACCAACTCAAAAACTTCCACCCTGAGCACAAATCTCTCCCCCTCCCCAATCTCTCAGCCTAGCACATATCCCACCTAAATTTCACCTCCTACCACAAATACCCCCCAATTATCCATATTAGCACACACAAGTTCCCCCCCCCCCCCCCCCCCCCAAAACAAATTCACCCTCCTAGAACAAGTCCTCTACCCCTCAAATTCACCCCAGAGCACAAATCTTCCCCCCCCCCACTCCAAGTCCCCCTCCCCCACATACCCTCCCAATTATTCCCTACTAGTAGCACAAGTCCCCGTCCCAAAAAAATAATTTCCCCTCCTAGAACAAATCCATCTACCCCTAAAATCCCCCCCTAGCACAAATCTTCCCCTCTAACTCCAAATCCCCTCTCCAAAAGAACCCCCCAGCCTAGCACAAATCCCTTCTAAATCTCCCCATTCCTACTACAAATACCCTCTAATTATCCCTGTAGTAGCAGCACAAATCCTCTCCCCCAATCTCCTTGTGGTGCCCCGCCCCACCATCGCCTGATACCACAGTGCCCCAGGGCAGCTGCCCCTTCTGCCCACCCCTTGTCCCGGCCCTGATCCCTATACATATGTGCGGCAGCAGAAGAGCGGGCCACGAGTCGCACATATGCATCGCTGGGTGATGTTTATTTACTGAGAGCGCGCTCACTGCATGCTCCCAGCACAAAGACTGAGCTGTCGAAGACAGCTCTCGGCTCAGGTTAAAGATCTGTATCTTGTGGTACCCACTTCCGATCATGTGACCCCACGGTGACACCGCTGATCCTTTCCTCTTGTGAGAGAGAAGAAATTAATTGGAAAATCAGTCAAGCAGATTGTAGTTTTCTAAACTTTTTGTCGTTATTTGGATCGCATGACATGTCCTGATGGTCTGAGGATGAGGTCACCTCGCTGGGATTAGTTCCTCATGTGTATTTCATCAGCGAGGACAGCTCAGGATCATGTTCCAGTGACTTGCATATTAGCAGCCAGGGGATTGGCTGGTTCGGACGCCGGCCACATCCTCCTCCAACCACAAGTTCCTTTGTTTATTTGCGTCCTTTGTCAAAAACAGTTTTAGAGAAAATGACTCCATGGCAATGCGAATGTGTCTGGTCAAATCTCTATGCTGCAAGACTATGAAGTCATTGACTGACGGAGAAGGATGTGCAGATTCCTCTTCCTCAAATCTTCTCTCTTTTTTGCCATATCCCACCTGTGAAGTAACCATCAGTCCATATAATATTGTTATAAAATGCTGGCCAACAACATAATTGGCACCTGGACTGACAGTGGCAAGGGAAAAGGGGTCCCCCTTAAAATATGGCAGTTGGGGAATCCAATGGGACAGGACAATGGGTACCTCTGATAGGACTCCAGCTGGTCCCCTAAAGGATGGGAATCCAATTGACATTCCTGTTGGGAGCTTAACTTGCCATATCCCAACTGTGACATCTGGTATGAGTTTTCCATTTTCCATTTATCTCCAGTTGTATCAGTGTCAACCCTTTCCCAGTTTTCCCTCAAGCACCACCCACGAGGAGACAACGTGCCCATTGCAACAAAGGACCATCTAATGGCACCTGTTGAACTTGAACTCCAGTACTTGCCTGTATCTTAGATCCCACATGTCGACATATGTTAATTGGAGGGACGGACAGTGGGTCCCCTGATAGGACTCCAGCTGGTCCCCTAGGTGGGAATCCAATGGGCATCCTGCTGGGAGCTTAACATGCCAAAAAAAGACCCTGCCCTACCGTGACATCTGATTTGAGTTTCCATTTATCTCCAGTCGTAGTATCAGTGTCAAACCCTTTCCCAGTTTTCCCTCAAAGCACCACCCACGAGGAGACAACGTGCCCATTGCAACAAAGGACCATGT